ATGTGTGTGTGTGGGTTCGTATTTGCGTGTTTCATGTATTTATGTACGTATGTTTATATAATTTGGGTAGTGTCGATGTTTGATGGCTATACACGAGCGTATAAATGTCAGAAGTTGTGTGTGGTTGGTTAACTTGCTGTCTCTATCGACAGTCTGACTTTGCTCATTAGTCAACACCTACAAGCTAGCTTCTACTCTTCTTCGGTATCGGCTCTACATCTAAGAATGCAGATAACCTGATCGCCGCAGCCCTTTATACCATCTTAGCGCTTGCGAACAATGGGTTGGGGTTCATTGGCTGCGATGCAGCAGCGCGAACGACGTTATTGTGGAATTAAATCGTTGTTGAGGGTCTAGTATGGGGACAAATTAGCAAGAATTTGAATGCGAACACTATTTGAAAAGCTCGGCACATGAGATTCAGCGCGAGCAAACTACATAGTGAACCAACCGATGTCGAAGTCAATAAAGCCCAAGCGTGTACCCTTCAATTGCCAACCGAACCTTCAGTCATATTTGACTGCAATATTTGTTTAGTAATTACATCATCCCTTTGTACCGTAGAGTGCGATTGCACAAGAAGAATGCAGGCAGGCCTGTCCCTAGGGAGACGGAATGTGAGCATGTGACGTGTCTGATGAGTGACTACGTTTCCTGGCTTACTCGCATCTTTGCTTCACTACCCAGGTGTGACCAGTACTTCCCTTATACAGGAGCGGCATCATTTATGCTTGTCCTTGATTTTCTGCTTTTGAACCCCAGATTTCAACCGAAATGGATAACATCCTTCGTCGGAACCGTGATTCAAGGTCTAACGTACTCTTTTGTTTAATATCGATTTGATCTGCATATATGACATCCGTTCTGTACCTCAGTACAGCGGTCACTCCATCAGACCGTTCGCATGACGAGCTGTGCACCACAAAGTAACGAAATCAAGTACTCCAAGCTTAACATCCAAATAACACACGAATGACCCCACTAGCGGTCACGCACTTTCCGGGTTCAACCCAGACGTGTATTTCGGCTATGCCGGTTACATGCATTTCCCGGAGATCTTCCAGGGAGTGGGCACTCTACAGTATGCGGTATCTGCCGTTGACTGGTCTGATTTCGTACCCACACGCCTGGGTATGCACGTTTCGCCTTGTCACACATCATGCCTTGTCTGTCGTTGGATTGTCTGAATTTGTATCCATGCGCCTGGATATGTGCATACATTTCTGTCCTACAGTGAGCAATGTCTGCCTTTGACGGGTCTGAATCTGTACCCAGGCATCCGAATGCATCGTACTGCAAGCGGTGTCTACCCTTTGCTGGGCTGAGTTTGGACCCGCCATACCCGAAAATTATGCAGAAATAGTTTTGTTCTACAGCATGCGGTATATGGCGTTGTTTTACTTCTCATTAGTACTCACGCGCCGGGATAGGCACGTGTAGTAAAGTGACTCACTTATACATGCAGAGCTCTGATTGTTCTGAAATTAGAGCTTATTCCGTGTTTCGCAGCATAGATGCCCTTCAGAACCTTTTAATTGTAGTATAAGTGCTAACTGGCTGGTTCCGAACTGATGTCGATTGCTAAATGACCATACAGGATCTCAAACTGATTTGGGAGTCAAGTCCACATTGTGGGTGGGGAATGAAGGGTGCAACACCCCCTGCCATTACGATTCCTATGGGTACAATCTGGTTGCTCAGGTAAAGTTCTTGTATATCCCATTTACCGGCGAATTTGAATCGCAAATACAACGAGAAAAACACGTTCCTTGTTCATTCTTAGATGTCGGATAGACCAACTCCCATACCGCAATCTAAACACTGAATTTAGTTTTGCTTGCGCGACCAAAGGTGATGATACGTTCTAAAAAACTTTGTCGTGTACATCAAATATCATCCCAGATTCACGGTACTAAAACATGGTATCTAGTGCCCCCCTCGGAGTCAGCGCTTATGGGTCCTCAGAGACTTCCTTGTTATGAAGAATCCAGTGTGTGGAGCGAACTCGACATCAGAAGGTCAGTAGAAAGCTCCCGAGTAGTGGTGGGTTGAGTTGTCATTTATATTCCATCCACTCATACAGTTCTGGATACCTCTCCATACCACAGTCTACTAACACAGGCAACCGCAAACCGATCCAGTGACACGACGGGGGTCGCTCAAGACTTCACTGAAAAGCTGCAGGATGTGTAAGTGTACAGTGCTATATTCCATGTATTTGCACGAGAATTGATCTCTACCGTTCCCTTCGTCCACCATACCCCACTTCGTTGTAGGTATGGTAGTAGTCGATATGTCACTGTCGATTACAGCACTGAGCTCGCATGTGTGTCATCCTCACCGCAGAACGTACAAATTAGTTTTAAATGAGGGAGACGTCCTATTCGTGCCCAGACATTGGTGGCATGCAGTGCATTCGGACACCACGTCAATAGCCATCAATATGTGGGTCGAGACTGCTGAGGACCATGCAGAGCGCGTGAACGAGAGCGTGGTCCGTCTGCTTGCTACTGGTTTGATGGCCTGGACAGGTGACAAAAGTACCGAACCTCGGCAAAGCGGGGTGCGTATGGACCCTGTCGATGAACAAAGAGGGCCGGACCAGCCCGGAGCCTCGATCAGGCAGACTGTTCAAAGTGAGAAAGTTGGTCTTACAAACTCCCCAAGGTCTACTAACGCATATGCGAATAGACAGGACTGGATGAACACTGGGGAAACCCAGCTGGAGGCTGACGAATGCGTAGCACTGGTAAACGAGGCAATCAAAAGCCATCTAAGACACAGGGGGAATAGCAGCGGTAGTCACAACGCACGCCTATCACGAGATACTTCTGAGACGAATAACGTAGTGGCATCCAGTAGTCATGGTGCTGGGGCCAACTTTGAGGAGAAGGTAACGTCACAACACTCAGAGCCGACACAGACACCTGTTAAGAATCATGGATATGTGCATAAGCGACATACGACTCCAGAGGCTGCGATCAATAGCTCAGCTAAGAGACGGAAACCCAACTTGTACGATCAAATGACCACCGAAGCAGGTTACAAGTCAAGCACCATGCCATACGATAGGTCAGCAATCAAAACGGACGATAACCCACTAACCACCACATATGAGATGACAACGACCGACACAGAGGATACGGCCAAGCCCACCGCAGATACCCATCCCACAACACACGCAGATAACAAGTCATCACACAATATAGATGTGTCAGCTGTCACACCAGATATTGAGTCAACAGTCAGCACAGATGAAAAGTATACAACCACATCAAGCACCTTGGTCGCACTGTCTCCGGAGAAAGGCACTGTGCAGCAAAAAGTTGATCTATCATTGACCCAGATCACTAACGCGATAGTCAGCGATCCTACAGTCGTACAGGCGATATCTCGCGCATTGGTAAGGCTATACGAATCCGAATCGGCTCGCCAATGATAAAAACTAAAGCCATTACATACGCGAAATATTATATTTATTAGTTCTGCGATTCAATGAAATATATATTGGGTTGCATGATGTTCCGATTCCATTGAAACGCTATCTCTAAATTTTCTTATCTCTTAGTCATCTATAAGGAGCCAGGCGGACAGTCTCGAACGCGACACGAACCCCAACATAGCATTACATGTCTCACTTGAATCAAGACATTGCGTTACTACACCTATTTTAGGAACAATTCTGTGCCATTGAAGTGGAGGTACAGACTAAATATCAGCTCGCGTTCGGTCGCACCTGCAGTTGTGGATGTATTGCGCGCCGTCCCACCCTCTACAAGCTACTACGTTGTCAGTATACTTATTTACGTATTCCAATTTGGCTGGGACATGCAACCTACAGCCGCCGAGCCCCCGCATGGGGATCGCGAAAGTGTCTGATATGTCCAATTTTTGAGTACGTGATCGATATTGATATACACGATTAAAGCTATACTTAGAGTTTGCCTGATGGCGCCAGTACCAGCCGCTCACGAGAACTGCTGCCAGAAGTCGCGCATACCATCGTCCATTTTCCTTTTCTTGTGCTCCTGTGTCCATCGCTGTTTGTTCTCCTCTGCAGTGAATTGTAAGAAAAGAAACAGTCAGTGAGAAAGTTGTAGACTAAAAGTAAAGTCGAAACCTCTTCCTGTAGTTTTCAAACAGTAAAAATATTTTCCGCACCAACAAAATCCATATAGATATAGATATAGATTTAGATATAGATAAAGATACAGATATATATTTTAATATATATATATATATACATATGTATATTTATATATATACATATATATATATATACGTATATATATATATATATATTTATATATATATGTATATGTATACACACACACAC